AACTGGATGTCCGCCAGCAGCCATCCTGGTGAGGGTGCTGCCATCTACGAGGCCGTGGAGGCTATTGGTATGGAGCTTTGCCCCAAGCTTGGCATCAGCATTCCCGTCGGAAAGGACTCCATGTCTATGAAGATGAAGTGGAAGGATGAGACTTCCCAGGAGGCCAAGGAAGTCACCGCTCCTATGTCTCTTGTCATCTCTGCTTTCGCGCCTGTTGCCAACTACCGCAAGACCTGGACTCCCGCCCTGCGTCGTCTCGAGGACGTCGGCGAGACCGTTCTGATGTTCGTCGACCTGTCTTTCGGTCGCAAGGCTCTGGGTGGTTCCGCTCTTGCTCAGGTCTTCAACCAGGTTGGCGACGAATGCCCCGACATCCGCGACATCGAGATCTTCAGAGATTTCTTCGATGCCGCTCAGCAGTTGCAGGAGGCAGGCATTGTTCTCGCTTACCACGACCGGTCCGATGGTGGTCTCTTCACTACTTTGGCTGAGATGATGTTCGCCGGTCGCTGCGGTGTTGAGATCATGATTGACAACATCTGCGCTAGCTCCAACACCAAGGATGTTGTGGAGACCCTGTTCAATGAGGAATTGGGTGCTGTCTTCCAAGTCCGCAAGGAGCATGAGATCCAGTTCCGCTCTTGCTTCGCCACCTGCGGGCCTCCTGCTGGCTTGATTCACAAGATTGGTCGTGTTTCTGAGAAGTCCAAGCAGAACCTCACCATTTACCACAAGCACACCTTGGTTCACCGCAACAGCCGTGCCAACCTCCAGCAGACCTGGGCTGCCACGTCCTACCACATGCAGAAGATGCGCGACAATGCTGCCTGCGCTGATCAAGAGTATGCTAGCATTCTTGATGATGCCGATCCTGGTTTGTCCTGGAACGCGACTTTCGACCCTAAGGATAAGGCCATGCCTCTCTTGACCAGCCTAACCCAGATGTCGCCCTTCAGCAACAAGCCTCGTGTTGCTATTCTGCGTGAGCAAGGTGTCAACAGTCAGGCTGAGATGGCTTTCGCCTTCAACATGGCCGGTTTCTCTGCCGTTGACGTCCACATGACGGATGTCATCTCTGGCCGTGTCTCCCTGTCCAGCTTCGTCGGTCTCGCCGCTTGTGGTGGTTTCTCCTACGGTGACGTTCTCGGTGCCGGCCAGGGTTGGGCCAAGTCTGTCCTTCTGCACGACAACACTCGCAACGAGTTCCAGTCCTTCTTCCAGCGGCCCGACACTTTTGCCCTGGGTGTCTGCAACGGTTGCCAGTTCCTCTCCCGTCTTAAGGAGTTGATTCCCGGCGCCGAGAACTGGCCCAGCTTCGAGCGCAACGCCAGCGAGCAGTATGAGGGACGTGTCGCCTTGGTCCGCATCTCCGATCCCGATCCGTCTCGTCCCAGCGTCTTCCTCCACGGCATGGATGGATCTTCCTTCCCTATCGCCGTCGCTCACGGAGAAGGTCGCGCTTCGTTTGCCCCTGCTTCCGGCACTACCGCTCAGTCTTTCGTTGCCGAGGGTCTGGCTCCCGTCCGCTACGTGGACAACGCTACCCTCAAGCCCACCATGAAGTACCCCGCCAACCCCAACGGCAGTCCTGAGGGTATTGCCGGTGTCCGCAACGCTGACGGTCGTGTGCTGGCCATCATGCCTCACCCCGAGCGTACCGTCCTGGGCGGCATCGCCAGCTACCTGCCTCCCAACGCCGAAGAGTGGGGTGACATTGGCCCATGGGGTCGTGTCTTCCTCAGCGCCAGAAGATGGGTTGGTTAGACGTTTTGTCTCGATCCTTTTACCGCGCCTGGTTGCAATGGGATGTACAGCTTTGGAAGATGAGAGAAAATCAAATACAAGGTCACGGCGCATGTCTTGAGTATTCTTAATGATATATATACAACAACAACCCCTTTTCTTCGTTTCCCAGTTCGCTGGAAATGATGCTTTATGATGACATGTGCGAGAAAAATATGAGTGTTCAATTAGTTTCACCTGGTTGGTTGGCCTAGGTTTAGTGCACGGCACGAACACAGAATGTGAATAACCTTCAATCAAATCCTTCATCTTTATTCTTTAACTGGTATAATTCAGGCTGTAATCGTTCATTTCATCTCTATTCTCTACATCTGCTACAGAGCAGATAGGGGACGTATCGACAGCCCCAGGGAATCCGAACCCAACCTCTAAGCGAGGGGCGGTCTCAGCAACCGACCGCCACAATTTCCGAGATAAGGAAACTATAGGACTCTTCCAGACCGGTACACCGTCCCGGCTCCCTTCCTCAATCCTGCAGGTACAGAAACGTGCCCCGAACATAGGATCTAGTCCGAGCAAGCTTGAACCGGAGACGGAGAACGCAGCAACCAACCTCAAACATGGCACGATCCTGCCTGCCACGGCCAAAGCTTATCCATATAGGTACTCATATGAGCGTAATGTATGCTGATCAGCGGCTTAGCCCGCACCAGCAGAAGATCCTTCGCCTCGCACCGGTCGCACTGGTTCGTTGTCTCGGTCTGCAGGATTCCATGTCAACCCATTTTCCTAATCGGGGTCGGGGATAAGCTTTCAATGCTGCTTGGGCCTCTGGGCTATGATGGTTGAATGACCGAGAATGCTGGATGTGGTGTGTGCTATTCCATCCTTTTTCTTGCCAAGATGAGCTGGGATTTTTTGTGAATATCATTGCAGATTCTATCATCAATTGCATTGCCTTGCCTAAGGATATAAGTTCCCCCTTGAGTCGAACACATTGATTGCAATCATCGGCAATATTGCTTCTTTTGCCGGACGTGCCTTGCAGCCCACGACCGAATCGCAATTCAAGGCACCCCGGTGGAAAAATTCAAAGCCAACATGCCAGACCCGTCAGCAGTTGTCTGGATTGGCTGGGTTCGAAATCTCCGGCTCGCCACGATCCTTCAGGGTCCGATCTTGCAGACTACGGTACGTTTCTAGAAGGGGGTCTAACAATAGCTGGTGGAGACGGATTGGGGCCGGATTGCCCAATCCGGAAACTGGGGTTTTCGGACCCCATGCGCCCTATACGGGCTCTTGTTTCGGGATGGCATGATGGTTCTTCCGCGTACTTTGGATTGAATACTAAAGTTGGATTGCTTCTGAAGATTATGGGCAGGATAAGTGAACTTCGGTGTTGGGCTTGCGACTGGTCATTGAAGTGAAGATGTGGGTGAAGTCATTGGCGGAAACTGAAATTAAGCGAGACATCTACGGCCCCATTACCACCGCGGGTTACCTTGCAATGGGGGATCGGCGATGGATCGCATGCTTGAAGGATTTGAGGTTGCTGCAGATTAGCTGACTGTCGTATGCTGAAACCGCCGGTTGCCCCCAATATGCATCCTCCTGGCCATGTGGACTAGGTAGGGAGGGGCATTGGTATGCACACATTGACGCAATGGGGCAAGTGAAGTGTATAAAGATGGGTGTTGCGCAGCTGAAAGAAGACCTTTCCTTAGCATAGACAATACCAGCAGCATTGGGCATACTTTGCCTCTCTCAACGTCATTCAACAACCTTTTGACCTTTTAATCATGGCTTCTAAACTCTTCAAGGGAATGGCCCTCGCAGGCCTCGTCTCCGCCGCCGCCGCTTGTTCGACCGAATCAGACGTGACGGTCACCTTCTATGGATATCCCGACAACGATCCTCCCAGTGCAGACATCGCCTATGACTGTGGCCGTGGCTACACTGCTGGCGGTAAGTGCAGCCTTCTACGTTGACGACGACAGGCGAATTGACAGTATGTAGGTACCGGTACTTACAGCGACCCATTGACCTTCGCTTCCGCGTCCGGCGAATTCGAGCAGTGTGAGATCATCTATCTCCCCTACCTGAAGAAGTACCTTCGGTACGAGGACGAATGCGCCCAGTGTAGTACGTTACTTTCCACCAGCATCAACATCAAGAACGCAAGTACTAACTCGCCACAGCCACGGACTACAAGTCCGGCAAGCTGCACATCGACATCTGGACTGGCTCCAACTCCGACGGAGGCGACACTCAAATCGACTGCGAGAACAGCTTGACTCCCGACTCCCAGTCGATCGTCCTCAGCCCGGCGAGCTCGTACACCGTCGACTGTAAGTCGGATCCCTTTCGTCGCTATCGAGCGTTGAACCCGCTGATTCTGGTTCTGCTAGCTACCGCGCTTTTTGCCAATGGCAAGTGCTACACCTCCAACACCTACAGTGGTGCTGTGGCGTCGACCTACTGCTCTTCTTCGGGATCCGGGAGCGGCTCTGGATCCAGCTCTAGCTCCAGCTCTGAGTCCAAACCGACCTCGACGGCAAGCTCCGGCCCGTCGTCCTCTTCGTGCTCTTGGTCGGGTCACTGCGCCGGTAAGTCGGCTGTGTCTGTTGTTGATTAATTGAGTGGCGCCCCGTATGTGACACTAAATATTGTGATGAAATATAGGTGCCACCTGCTCCACGGAGAATGATTGCTCGGATGATCTCACTTGCCAGAACGGCAAGTGTGCGTAACTCGAGTCTGTTTTTGAGTTCTACTGTAACATCAGTGCGTTGTGCAACGGCTAAATTCGAGATTCAAAGAGAGCTTGATTGGTGGACGAATCGAGAGCGTGGCGCATGTATAAATAGACGAAAGAAGCTGATTTGTTGAATGCTTTGGTCTATCTGACTGAGAGGTTTCACCACAATGTACACGTAGAATGATGTTAGCATGCTCTGCAGCCGATTGTACCTCTCGAAAATCGAAGCCGTTCGGCAGCGGCTCAATCCCGATGACGATATGTTTCACATTCCAGGAAGCAGCGGAGGGCGTGAAGTGATTGCACTTCTTCATTGTGTTCGTTTTCCCAGGTGCACTCGTGTGACAGTCATGTAATCCGTTGGGTGCTGAGTGATATTCATGTGATGGTGGCACTTCGGGAATTTAATCAGCCTTTTAGAACATATATAACCTCGAGATGATGAAAATGAAAAGCCAGGGAATCCTAAAGCAGCTGCAACAAACGATAATACGTCAAGATGATCTTCAAGCTCGCAACACCATGGATTGTTCTTCTGGCACTGCTGCTGGTACCCACTTGGCTTGGTAGGCTCGCCAATGCCGATGAATCTCTGCAGTCGAGCAACGAGACGGTAATCAGACGTGGTTTTTGCATCATTGGCGGTGGTGCAGCGGGGACCTATGCTGCTATTCGCCTCCGGGAGCTGGGTCAGGATGTTGTGATCGTGGAAAAGACAGGCCATCTGGGTGGCCAGGCGCGAACGTACTTCGACCCAGTCACGCGCACCCCGATCGACTATGGCGTGAGAGCATACGATGATTCCCCCGAAACTAGGAAGTTCTTCAAACATTTCGATATCCCGATGGAAATCGACACATCAACTAAAGACCTTGAGACCCTGAGATTCGACTTCCGCACGGGGGCGTCGGTTCCGCCATATCCAGGCAATACCAAGGCGGCCATTGAGCGCTACACCACAGAGCTACAGCGATATTCGTATCTGTCTCAAGGATGGAATCTCTCCGAACAGGTGCCGGAGCCCCTTCTCGAGCCCTTCCATGACTTTGTCAAGGAGCACGATCTGGGGCCGGCATTGGAGATAGTGGCCATGCTGAGCGAAGGGATGCACTATTTGCTCGACTATGCAACGGTCTACCCATTGAAGATTGTTTCACTGAACCGGCTGAAAGGTATGCAAAACGGCTACCTTGTTCCCACGCGTCGCAACATATCGGAAGTCTACTACGCGGCGCAACAAGAGCTGGCGGAGGATCTACTGCTTAACAGCACCGTTGTGCATGCTCGGCGGTCAGATGATAAGCTTCACCAACTGACAGTCGAGGCGGACAATGGCGAGAGAGTCGTAATTGAAGCAGATGCGACTATCATGGCTCTGCCCCCGAAGACTGACGAGATGGATGGGCTCGACCTGGACAGTCTCGAATCTTTCTTCATCCGTCAATTCCAGTACGGGTACGTCTACACGGCTCTGATCAGGGACAGCGGTCTTCCGGATGGTACCCGAGTTTTGAACCGCGGTCTCGATACGCCATATAGGCTTCCCGCGTACCCATGCACATACTCCATCCTGTCTTCAGAGGTTCCAAGTGTCCACCTGGTGACATATGGGAGTGCAGAAGAGATGAGCGAGCAGGAAGTTCGAGATGCAATTGTCGACGATATCCTCCGACTCCAGGGTCTCAATGCAGCAGAGCCAACATTTCTTGCCTTTGCAACCCTTAGTCCATACGACATGTATGTCAATCGAGAGGCGATAAAAGCAGGGTTCTATCAGGATGTGAACGATTTGCAAGGGCATCGCAACACTTATTGGATTGGAGCCGCTTGGGAGCATCCGGACTCGTCTGCTATTTGGAGGTCTGTTGATCGCTTGCTCCCTGCGATCATCGGAGCTTAGAATTAGAGTCTTGGCCTCCGAGGGGCCGTCAAGGCAGGGAGAAGCGGACCTGAAGACACGCTCACAGGAATGGATAGCTAGACAACCGCAGATTGCGAGACCCATTGATAGCTAGTTCCGCATCGAGTCATGATTCTGCCGCCCTTCGTGTGTGTTCATATCGTAGATATCGTCCAAGTCAGGCCAGGTGCTTGAATTAGGTTGCGATAAGCTGGCAAATTTCCCCGCTTTTCCCGCTTTTCCCGCTTTCTTCCCGAGTGCTTATCTTATCGCCCGGTCAGTGCAAGGGATGGGGGTGATTCGTCGAATCACTCGAGGTCGGACAAGTTGATAAAAAGCCGAGAGGCAGCATATTCTGTCTTTCCCCGAATCTCTTGACTCCTTGTTCTGTGGGAGGCTCTGTACATCAGACTTCATGATCATGGCAGAGCCTTCGAGTACGGCTGGTCCTTCTGAGAGTCGCTATGCTGGGGACACAAGTGCCCTTGCATCGCGCGTGTTGCGCAAGGTGGATAGGCGACTGATTCCCCTGCTTTTTGTCACCTATCTGCTCAACTATATGGACAAAGCCATCCTCTCTAGTGCTTCGGTGTTTGGTTTAACGGAGGACACGGTGTGGCGAACTCAGCCCCTTGCAAGCTTTCAGAGTTGCTGACAAAATCCATCACAGCATTTGGTCGGACAACAATATAGCTGGGTCTCGAGTATCTTCTATTTCGGGTATTTCTTTTGGGAATGGGTACGAGCGATGTAATAACCTCTGGAAATAATGACAATGGCTGATTTTCTAAGCCCACGAACATGCTGATTCCCCGAGTGCGGGTGGCCAAATACCTGGGATTGAACACACTCTTTTGGGGAGCAGTGGTTGCGCTGACTGCCGTCTGTGTGAATTATGGCGGCCTTCTGGCTGTCCGGTTCCTGCTTGGGGTCGCAGAGGCCACTATCACACCCGCGTTCATGTTCATCACCTCGACCTGGTACACCCGGGATGAGATCCCCTTCCGAACGGGGATCTGGTTTTCGGGGAATTCGGTCGGAGGCCTGATTGCGAGCCTGCTTGCCTACGGCATCGGGCACATTGAGCATCCACTCCGACCGTGGATGTGGATGTTCATTATCTTGGGTGTTGCAACCTTTCTCTGGGGATTCGTCCTGCTGGCTTTCTTGCCGGATAGTATCTCCAGCGCCCGGTTTCTGACACCCCAGGAACGAGAGTTCATGAGCAATCGTGCCGTCATTGCTGGTACAGGTCGCACAGAGCATACCACCTGGAAATGGGAGCAGGTAGTGGAGTGCATTCGAGACCCGAAGACCTGGCACCTGTTTGCTATTGCTCTCTTAACTCAAATTCCGAATGGAGGTACTCAGAATTTCGGGAATCTGGTGATCAAATCATTTGGTTTCACGTCTCTGCAATCCACGCTGATCAATATCCCAGCCAGTGTGATCAGCGCGGGAACGATCGCCGTGACTGGATGGCTGGCAAGTCGTTCCAATAAGCTGAACTGTATTCTGATCGTATGCGTGATCATCTTTCCTATTATTGGAAGCGCGATCATCTACGCTCGCGCACACCATGTTCCCTTGGGAGCGCAACTATTCGGGTACTTTCTTCTTTCGACGGGTCCTGGGGCACTGCCACTGGTGATGTCCCTGTTGCAGAGCAATTATCGGGGTGTCACCAAGAAGATGACGATGACAGCTATGATGTTTGTCGCATACTGCGCAGGTAACATTGCCGGGCCGCAGCTGTTCAGGACCAGTGAGGCACCAACGTACCCAACATCCTTCCGCGCGATTTTGATCTGTTATATCATTGCTGTCGGGCTAGCCATCTCGTTGCGCTTCTATCTGCAGTGGCTGAATTCGAAGCGGGACCGGGACGAGGGCATACAAGGCAGTGCGAGTTTAGCTGGTGCAGTGGGAGGGAAGGTAGCCGGCGAGCAGCGCGATGGGACGGACGTTTCGGTGGTCGTACAATCTGTGGAACTGAACCCAGCGGACTATGAGGACGTGACAGACTGGAATACGGTCGGGTTTCGCTATCGTCTATGACTCCTCAACAAATTCTGACGAAAGAGTCGAGCCGACCGACAGGTGCCTTTGAGTGAGTGTCGCCTGTAGACCAAGTTAGGAACAATGCTGTAGCTGCGGCTGGAGGCTTGCCATAGAGCAACTGAGCCGGGTTGAATGCAAAGGCATCAGTGCATATTTCTTATTGGACTCCAAGCACGAGCAGGCTGGACAGCCAGTTCCCCACATACTATAGCAAAGAGTAGAAACAAGATCAAGTTCAAGGTTGTACGTAGAGGAGGAGAGTGGCAATTCAGGGAAGACCGGGGTTGCTGTCAGCGGACAGTGTGTCGTTTGTTGCGTTTGTTTACCAATACCAACCAGGCAGTCGAGCACCATCGCGGGCGCCGGGCACATCACAATCAGTATTCCGAGACTTACAACCTTGGATATCATGCCCACTCCTTCTTTCTTCTTCTTCTTCTTCTTCTTCTTCTTCTTCTTCTTCTTCTTCATCATCATCATCATCACGTACTTCTAAGCCCGTGTACTACACAAACGTGAAAATGACTATTACCCCTCTTGTTGAGAGATTTTGATCATGGCCTCCACTAGCTTCGCGTTTCTTCGGGGCTATATCTTCAGCAGAAAGGCAGGTTGCGACACGCTATCCCCGTCGCTCGCCATAGCGTTATGGGTGCTGAGTAGCTAATAGCCGAGCCAGAATCTTGCACAGAGTCCAGATGCTACGAAAAGCCGATGACGATAGCAGAAGTGCCACCAATGATGGCAAAAACTATCTAGTGATTGATCGGATTCCGACGGGGCGCCGAGAGGGGATCGGCAGGGGTTATTGAACTCATGCAGAGAGTGACATGATAACCACTTCGCTTCTCCTCTCCGTCGACCAACGAGCGTGGATCAACACAATACAAGTCACACAGCAATGCATCTGGTAGGTTCTGGACGGTGGTTGGGTTGATTACTGTGGTCAATACTTGTCTCCCGCGGAAACACAGCGGATGTAACCTTCATCTAAGTGTTTCGAGGCATTGCCGCAGACGGGCTGATCGTCGCTCATTCGAGCTTGATCCTGGCAGTGTACGTCCCATGGCTCAACACCAGCTGCACGAAATACATTATCATGGATGGTGCCAAGCTTCGTTGAAGCAACACGTCTTGCGACATTTGGTCTTCCCCGCCCGCCTTCGGGATTATTTATTTACGGTCGCCCAGGCTGTCGCACAAGAAACTCCCATCACAAGTTTGCAATTGTCCTTTTGCTCAGCTTGCTGCGATGAAGCTGCTTGCCACTTCTTGGCTACTGTCCACCTTGTTGGTGGGCGTAGTGCTGGCCGTCCCCCATGTACAGCGAGACACGGTGTCCAAGGTCGTCAAGAGGGGAATTGAGTACACTGTCTACCATCATGCAGCTACCGGAGCAAACTTGGAGATAGTGAAGAACTCCGGAATCTGTGAGACCACACCCGGGGTCAATCAGTACTCAGGCTACCTCTCGGTAGGAGAGGACATGAACATGTTCTTTTGGTAGGAGATGCGATCTTCGTCCGGCTTCCCGCTAAGCTAACGGGATCGCCTTAGGTTCTTCGAAGCCCGCCACAACCCCCAAACGGCGCCTTTGACGGCTTGGTTCAACGGTGGGCCTGGTTGCTCGTCTATGATCGGGTTGTTCCAAGAGCATGGACCGTGTCGATTTGTCAATAACGAGACAACGCCGTCCTTGAACCCTTACAGTTGGAACACCTACTCAAATATGATCTACATTGATCAGCCTATCGGGGTGGGATTCTCGTACGGTAACGATGCTGTGAATAGCACAGTCACGGCTGCACCATTTGTCTGGAAGTTGCTGCAAGCATTTTTCGCCCATTTCCCTGAATATGAGAGCCGCGAGTTCAATTTGTTCACCGAGGTAGGTTGACAAGCTAAGTGGCTTCGAGTTCATTGAGAAAGCTGATAACCATGCAGTCATACGGTGGTCACTACGGCCCTGAATTTGCTCACTACATTCAACAACAGAATGCCGGGATCAAGACGGGCGCTGTTACTGGTGAGACTATCAACATCGGGTCTCTCGGCATCAATAATGGCTGGTTTGACTCCACGATCCAAGAGAAGGCTTACATCACCTATGCCTTGCAGAACCCCTACCGTCCCTTGATTAATGCCTCTGCTGGGGCCAAGTACTACAAGGACTACCAGGAATACTGCGTCCCAGCCATCGAAACATGCACGACTTTGGGGACAGACGCCGCGTGCATCAAGGCTGGCGACATCTGTGGCGACCTGATCGACGACCCGATCATGGAAACTGGCGATTGGGATGTCTATGATGTGCGCGAGCCTTCGAATGACCCGTATCCTCCTGAGACCTACTATTATTACTTGAACAATGCGGCCGTGCAGCGCGCGATTGGTGCCCGTCAAAATTACTCCGAATGTCCCGATGCTCCGTATTACAAGTTTGCTGCCACGGGTGATGGTATGTAGAGGCACCCTTGGCTCTTCGAGTATGCACTAATGATGGTTCACTAGGCACGCGATCTTTCCTCGCGACCCTCTCCGACGTGGTTCAGACTGGCATCAATGTTCTGCTCTGGGCCGGTGATGCGGACTGGATCTGCAACTGGATTGGCGGGTTCGGTGTGGCAAATGCGGTGGAGTTTGCAGGCCAGACGGCCTTCCAGAACAAGACTCTCCAGCCCTACGAGGTAAATGGGACGGAGAAGGGCACTTTTAAGACGGTCGGAAACTTTACCTTCCTCCGCGTGTATGAGGCTGGCCATGAGGTTCCCTACTACCGTAAGTCATCACTACTACCTAGGTAGCCATTCCGAGGAAGCTTCGAGTTGTTAACTTGATTTTCTCACACAGAGCCCGACACCGCCCTTCAGGTGTTCTCCCAAATCATCAAGAAGGTGCCTCCGTTTTCAACTTGATGAAGCGGTGAGTTGAATGGCCGC